CAGGAAGCATCAAAAGAAGATGGAAGGAATACACAGAGTCACTGTACCAAAAAGAACTAGTTGATGTTCATCCATTTCAAAAGATGGCATATGATCAAGAACCAATGGTCGGCCAATGCCTAAGGGACCAGGGAGTGAGAAGGTGCACGACTCAGCCCCCAGAGGCAAGGTGGAGACTGTCCTTTCTCAGTGGGGCTGTTTATAGACTCAGACCGATGCTGCAGCCTCAGTGAGGTGAGAGTTTGGGCATAGGGTTTTGCAGGTAGATTCACAAACACATGGTGATATTGCAGGACTGTGGGCTCCTGTGTTTTTGAGATGACTGGATGAGATACAAGGAGCTCTGGTGGCGCAGTGCCTGAGGCATCTGACTGCTAACTAGAAGGTTGGCAGTTCAAACCCACCAACCACTCTGAGGAAGGAAGACTTGGCTATCTACTTCCATGAAGATTTACCACCTTGGAAACCCAGTGGGGGTTGCCATGGGTCATGATCAACTCAACAGCGGTGGGTTTGGTTTTTTTTGGTTAGTTGAGATGCAGACTTGGGGCGTCCAAGTGAAGCCTCCCTGACTGGTACAGAGCCCAGCCTTCTGTAGGTTGGGCATGGGTGGGGAGAATGGTGGGCCCAAGGTGCCCCACCTTGCCCTTCCCTCCCCTGCCTGGCCTGGAGGAAGGAGCTAGTGTCTGCATCGTGCATTGATGCTTCCTGACAGTGAGCATTCTGCCCAAGACCATTTGGGCGGAGAGCAGTGACGCTGGGCCTTGAATCTGCCGTCGCGGTCCGAGGTGATAGAGGATGGTCTTAGACCCTAAACCCAGGCCTCCAGGTGAAAGGCTGACTCTTGGTGATAGAAAGGGAGTGTTTGAAAATTGGGACGTGGGAGGCTTGACTGGGTGTCGGGCTCCACTCTCCAGGGCTTCCGATAGATAACGTGAAAATCCTGCCACGTGGGGGTGGAAACGCTGTGGCTGCCCAGGCCATTGAGGTGGTTTGGGGTTGTTGGGATTTTGGGTGGCTGTGCCTGAGACCTTGCAGCTGAGGACGACGTGCTGGCTTATGCCTGGTGCACTCCCTAACCCCCCCCCCAGCGGATGTGTATCGTAAAGTGTTGGGTGTGAGAAATTTTCAAACTTTTTCAAAAGCCAGAGCAGGCTGTATCTCCCCAGGCTTCCAGCTTGCCTCATTAATGCTTTGGTGACTGGATCCAGGGTCCAGCATCGGAAAGGGCCCAAGTGCTGTTCAGGCTGGCCTCTTGGGCACATGATGGTGGCCTCAGGATGGAGGGACACTCACTGGTGGTCAAGGACACATTTATTTGTCAGCCCACATGTACCCCAGCTTCCTGGGGCCGAGGCACTGTCCCAGGTGCTGGACATGCAGCTGTGAGCAAAATCCCGGCCCCTGTGGACCTAGTGGTGGGGAAAGACAGCCCCACAGATACTGGAGTCGTTTTGGGGGTGAGAAGTGTGAGGAGAAAAGTCACTCAGAGCGAGTGCGGCAGGAGTTGGAGGTATAAAGGAGTCTGTTTCCGCTTTCCTGAGCCCAGCTCTGACTCCCAGTCTAAACAGCCTCCCTGATGCCAGTGGCAGATGCTGTATTTCTTCCTCAGATCCTGACCGCCAGGACGAAGCCATAGGTCACAAGTTCAGGGGCATAGTTCTCCAGACTGCCAGGTCTGCCCGAGACTTTGGACCCCAACCATAGCTTGGGGCCTCCATGACACTCTCATTTCCGACCAACTGGTTCCCCTGCTCCCTCGTATTTGATATTTCACTAGAATGAAGACTACAACACAGCAACGTACCATCCTCGCAGTTAGAACTTTCCTGCAGCAAAAGGGATGTAAATGAAGAAACTCTGGAGAGGCCCCAGCTTGGCGCCTTCATGTCACACAAAGGAACGGGTGAACCTCCAAAAAAATCAGTATCTTTCCCCAATCTGGGAGCTTACCGAGCTTCTGTGTTCTGGTGGCGCAGTGGTTAAAATATCTGGCTGCTAACCGAAAGGTCGTCTTTTGAAACCTACCAGCTGCTTCTTGGGAGAAAGATGAGGCAGTCTGCTTCCATAAAGATTTACAGCCTTGGAAACCGTGTTGGGAGTTATCTGTTCTGTGGGGTCGCTGTGAGTCAGAATTGACTCAGTGGCAGCAAGGTTTTTTTTTTTTTCCAAGTCATTACATAGGCATGGTTGATTGAATCATTGCCCCTGATTGAACTCAGATTCCAGCCCTGAACCAAGAATAACCTCATTGGCATAACTTGGTGGGTGGGTATGGTCTGGAGTCCCTCCATGAATAAGAGACCCAAGTTAGGAAATTTAAGAGTCTAGAAACTCTAAGGGTCTGAAACCAAAAAACCAAACCAAACCCACAGCCATCGAGTCAGTTCCCACTCATCGCAACCCCCATTGGGTTTCCAAGGCAGTAAATCTGTCTGGAAGTAGCTTGCTGAGTCTTGCTTCTGCGGAGTGGCTGGTGGGTTTGAACCACTAGCCTTCTGGTTTGCAGTCAGATGCCCCAGGCACTGTGCTACCAGAGCTCTTGGCAAGGGTCTGGGATTACCTAAAGGAACTCTGACAGTGTAGTGGTTGAGACATTTGACTGCTAATTACAAGGTTGGTGGTTCTACTTCACCAACTGCTCTGTGGGAGAAAGATGAGGCAGTCTGCTTTGGTAAAGATTCACAGCCTTGGAAACCCAGTGGGGGTCACTATGGGTCAGAATTGACTCAACGGCAGTTTGGTTTTGTTTTGCAAAGAGTGCTTAAGGAGCCCTGGTGGCACAGTGGTAGTGTTTGACTGCTAAACAAAAGGTAGACGGTTTGGATCGACCAGCTGCTCCGTGGGAGAAAGAGGAGGCGTGAAGATTTACAGCCTTGGGAACCCCTCTGTGTCACCTGGTGGGACCTACTGCTTGCCTTGGCCTGTCCATGGGACAGGGACTGGAGGAGAAACAGAGCTCTGTGCAACTAACTGCCCTAGCCACTCTTTGGGGGAGAGAGGGGCTCTGAGGAGAAGCACCAAGCTCCCTTTCCCCTGAGAAGGAGGGACTTTTGAGCCAGACTGACTGATGGCAGACAGGAAGGCTTGGGTGAGATTGTGGACAGCACAGGAGGCAGAGGACCTGGCAGGCACAGGGACCGTGAGCACACTGGGTAATCAGGGTGTGGAGGGAGCAGTGTGGGGCGAGGGGCTTACTGGCACGTGTGGAGCACCGAGCTGACAGATGAGACCTCAGGCCTGTAGCCGTGGGGAAGCAGAGCCCTAAGGAGGGCTGAGCATTCAGAAAATCCTGAGACCTCCCTCATGCCCACCTCTACCGTGGGGCAAAGGGGCCATTTGAGCCTTGACTGTGGGAGCATTTCTGAGGGACTGTGTCACTGAAGGCCAGGGCACCGATACAGGCCGGATGGGCCACTCTCAGTTTTCCGTGGCCAAAGCAGACAGTACTGCATGGAGGCAAAAAGTGACCAGGAGCCCAGTAGGCGTGGCCAGGCCTGACATCTGCAGGAAAAATGCAAGGAGAAGACTGGGAGCTCTTGAAGTCAGCCCTGCCCAGGACCTGTCAGATTTCTGCAGCTTGGCTGTTCCGTGCTGCCCATTCTGTTCCCACTCCCTGCTTGGCACAGAAAGATGCCACCCACTGCTGCACAGCTGGGAGGGATGTCAGGACCCCAGCAGGCTGCTTTCTGGGGCGGCATTCTGTCCTCTGCCTTCCGGAAGCCAGCGGCCTTGCCCCACTGGTGTCCCCTGGGCACTGGAGATGAGTTGCCTGTGCAGACATCTGGGGGCCACCTTCAGGTCAGGGCTCCCCCGAGCTGGGCTGGTTTGCGGTTCTCTGCTTTCTGGCCTGGGTTGGCCCTGCCAGCCTTGAGTGGCCAGCTTTGCCAGGGAGGCCTGTTGGCCTTTCACCGTCCTGCCTCCCTGAGCTCTGCTGGGTTGATGTCATGTGCTGAATGACTCCTGTTAATGTGTCTCCCCTCTCTGCATGTCTGATCTCATACCCTGTGCAGGCATGACGAGTATTCTGATGTCGGCCATTGGACTCCCTGTGTGTCTTAGCCGCGCACCCCAGCCCGCCAGCCCTCCCGCCTCCCGCCCGGCCTCTAAAAGTCACAGCTCAGTTAAGAGATTGAGGAATGTGTCCGTGAAAGGTAGTTGTGTTCACCAACGCACTCTGGCCTTTGCTCAGCCTCCTCCGAGTCTTGCTGCTTCTGACTCTACTGCGTCGGTTGTTCATCCTTCAGTTCCGTGTCCTGCTCTCTTTCCTCAGCCCCTTGGGGCGATGGGCTTATCGTCTCCTCTTCCAGCCTGCTGGTGCAGGGGTGGTCCCTGGGGATCGTTATTTTCCACTGAAGACCCAGAGTTCAGGTCTTCTCTTCTTGACACAGTTTAAATGAGGGTCTTGTTCTTGAGGACCTGTGACTTTGTAGGCACAAAGGTACAAGATGAGGCCTTGCACCAGCTGCTGACTGAGAATAGAGGGGCAGGTCTGTCCCCTTCCCTCAGGGCTAGTCTCAGAAATGACACCAGACAAATCTAGTCCTTCTGCCCTTGGCCCCCCATGTGGGGCTGCCTGAGGGGTTCCTTGGTGACTGCATGGCTTGGCTGGAAAGATGGATGTCAGGACCCTGGCAGGTGCTGCTGACCACCACCGAGGGTTGTGGGGTGCTAACTTGGTGTCTCTCTAAAGCTGGCTGGCTTGGCCTCTATCATTTGGCCATAGACTCAGAGATGCTTAAAAGCCAGATGACCTTTGAAGAGACTACAGCCTTGTGGAAGGAGCAGAATTTCAGGTCCTGGGTCTCAGTCTTGGCTCCATCACGTACACGCTCTGTGATCTGCACGTTTCTCTGGGTGTGTGCTGGGAACCACCTACTTAGCATGTGGTTATGGAGGGAATAGGAGAGGAAGGACCTGGCACACGGTGACCGTGGCTTCTCTCATCACAGGCATTGTTCTGACACCCACCCCACCCCGGCATGGGGGAGGGAGGCTCACTGAGGGGCAGGGTTTTCCTTGCCCGGTGTTCAGGTTGGGCCTCGGTGCTCCTGATCCCAGCCCAGGGCTCTGCACACTGCTTTCTTACTTGGCCTTGGAGGTGGAGATGGGACCTGGGCAGGGCAGGCAGGCAGGCAGCTTCCCGGGCACTCAGGTTTGCCCAGAAAGGACACAGGCCAACTGTCTATTTCATGGAGCTGAGGGTCACCTGGCTGGCCTCTTTGAGAACGTGGCTAGTGGAAGTCTGCAGGGAGAGGGGTGAGGTGATGGGGTGCTGAGCTTGGACCTCACCAGAGGTGGGCCCAGGGCTTCTCTGGGCAGATGGGGTCCGGGTTCATCTGAATCTGGATACTGGCCTGTGGCCACCAGGCTTTTCTACAACGCCCCTCCCCTCGGTCCAGGTGGAGCTTCCCACTTAGCAGGACGGCATCCCGAGCCGGCGGTCACTGTGTGTGGGCCTGGCTTTCTTGGCATGGTGACCAGACTCAGGGTCCTGGGAGTGTGTGTGTGTGTGTGTATGTTCGTGTGTGTGTGTGTACATACGTACGTATGTGTGTGTATCTGTGCGCGCACGCGTGCATGGCCTTTGCCTGTAGCTGTTCTCCACACAGAGCAGTGAATACAACAGTGGCAGTCCTGATAGGTGTCGTGTTTCCACTTTTCAGACAAAGGAACCAGCACTCGGGTGACAGGATTTGGTCACACAGAAGAGCCAGGCTTAGACCCCAGGTCCCGTGATTCTAGTCTCACCCCCTCTGCTACACCGAGGGCTCCCCACCAGTAGCTGGCCCCCGGGGTTGCGGCTGTTGGGCTCTCAGGCTCCTGCATGTTGGCACCCATGGGCCTGTGTGCAGAGGACGCCCTCTGGTCCAGAAGGCAGGCATGAACAGTTGGAGCAGAGTGTGAGGTGGCAGGAGGAGCTGTGCTCGGGCGGTGCTGGGCCCCTGGTGCCCCTGCTCTGCTCCCACCTGAGCTGGGCCGGTTCTCGTGAGTCTACCATTATCACCTGAAACCTCCTGGCAGGGCTGCTTTTCCCCCTGGAATCTCTCACCGTAGGAATTGAGCAGTGGCGTGTGGCAGATCCCTTAGTCCGTAGAGACAAGCCGGAGGGGTGTGTACCCGAATTGCCTGCCAGAGGGTTTTGCCCCGGTTAAACCAGAAGCGAAGACAGAGCTGAGTTCAAGGGGGAAGTGCGTTGGCCTTCACAGAACAAGTCCAGGCTTTTTGCCTGAAATTCAGGACCATCACACGCTGTCCCTGCGGACCCCTGCCCATGTGCTCCCGGCATCCTCTAGTCACCAACCTGACTCAGCCACTGCGTCAGGGGTGTCTGGGCCGTCCACACGCACAATGCCCAGTGCACTCAACTCCTTCACCTGACTTTACAGGCTGAGAATTTCATGAGAGACTGAGAAAGTTAAAGGAGTAATAATGCCTCCAGGACACGCTTCCGTTCAGTTTGCCTTAGCAGTGGTTTTTCGTTCCTTGGGCGCCCTCTGGAGAGCCTGGGTCTGCTTGCTTGACTGACTGGACACGGGTGCAGTTAAGGAGCAGTGCAGCTCCTCAGAGCTGGGATGGGCTCTGTGTCTGCCCACCTCCAGGGCTCCTGGACCCCAAAGGGTGGGCTTGGTCGGGGCTGGCACCTGGTGCGAGGCCTCTTTGCTCCTGCACGCTAACTTGTCCCATCTTTCGCCTCCTAACGTTACTCCTGGCAGCTTGGACCTTCCTCGTCTTCCTGCCTGTCTGGCATCACCAGCTCCAGTTTGCACTCCAGGGACACTGTTTCTCTTCTTTTCTCTCCTAGAGGCCACTCCAAAGCTGGTACCGGAGCAGGTGATACAGAACTACACGGAAGAGCTGAGACCGCCCCCAGATGAGGTGTGTGTCGGGAGGAAGGTGGGGTGGCCCGTGGCTGTAGAGGATGGCAGCCTGTCCTCTTACAGGCCAGGAGGTAGACTTTACCAAGGTGGCGCCCACGGCTCCTGAGGCCTAGTGCAGCTTCAGCTTTGCACTACAAGCTGTGCTCCTGAGGGAAGCACTTCCTCTTGGTGCAGGCCTCTGTGCAACCCCTCCCTGTGCCATGGACTGAGGTCCCGGGGACAAGGGGTGAGAGAGTCTGCCCCATCCCCTGCAGGCAGACGCTTCAGTAGAAGCACCAGAAGCACCATGGGCGTGCGCAGAGCACTAGTCATACCCCTTCAGGCTGTTTGGGAGAGCTGGTCAGGGTGCCAGGAGTCGGCAGTACCTGCCAAAGCCTGGGGCCGCCTCGGTGGATCCTGAGCCTCCCCGCCCGAGCCCATTGCGGGTTACAGTACTGCCTGTCTGTGCTTGGAAGGGAGGGCCCCGAGAATTGGTCAGGGCATGGGTTCCAGGTGGGTCAGGCCAGCACAGATCCTAGTCCACTGGCCTTTCTCCTACAAGTTGAGCACATGAGAGAAGTCGAGTCAGCTTAGTCAGAGTTTGGACAGAGACCTGAAGCGTTCCTCAGTCGTCCTGCCCCCTCTTCCGGTCCTGCCTGTCTGTCTGCAGCCCAGCACCTGTCTGTTTACTTCCTCCTGTCTTTCCCGTCAACACATCGGGCACAGGTGGCTTGTTCTGCCCCCCGTCCCCTCGACTGCCAGCAGGCAGCTAGGACCATGGAGCTCCTCCTGCTTCAGGGCCTTCGAAGGCCCGTGACTTCCAGAGAAGCCCGGCCTGAGCTGGGCAGGAGAGCCTGCCAGGGTGGGGTTCTCCCTACCTCTTACCTGCTCCCCC